CCTGAGCTTTCAGTTCCACTCGCTCAGTTTCATGAGTGCCATCGAGTATGACAGCTCTTACATAAAGAGAGGGAGAGATCTCCTCCACTTTGACTTGAGTGTCCTTTCAAAAGTCCCACTGCCTGTCTCTCACCCAAACATGCTCAAATCCTCATGTAAATATCCTCTATCGCTCAACCGTCACATCTAGGTCAGCTCCATTACTAATTAATTACTGTTGCACAATGGTTTCCACCTACACACACACACACAGTTCTGCCTCCAAGCCCCATATTGTCATAGCTGCTAAAAATACAAAAAAGCTTTAGGGGGAAGTCATAACAACTCAGCACAACAACTCTGGATTGAGAGCGTGATCACACTGACCTTAGAGCACAACTAACGCAGGCTTGCTCTAAGGGTGTAATCATTCTGCCCTTTACATCACGCCACAAGCAGGAGGTGTGATCACAGTGACCTTAATCCTGCTGCACACACACAAACTCAGATGCACAATAAAGGGTAGGGCTGTGCGATTAATGTAATGGATTTTCGGTTTAGATTTTGGCTTCCAATGATTATGAAAACAAGATAATCAAGGTAAAATGATTATTTGTTCTGCTGTCACATTGCGGGTTGTTTCGTTCCTCCCCTAAGCCAAACTTAACATCCAAATCAGCCGAAAAAGTAAGTGTTGTAAAATGCAGTCTACTGTTGCTAAACTGCGGGACGTGCCTGATATTAAACAGTGTCATTAAAAGAGCATTAAGCCACGACAGAGATACTGTTCCCCAGGCGGCTTTCTGTGCACAAGGTCTGAGACGGAGCGGAATGCGCATAGGCAAAGTACTGCGGTCAAATAGCCTACACACATTTTTTTAAAATGTCATTTTGGTAAGTATCCTTGTCGTAAACACAGTCAGTTATGTCTTAAGTGAATGTAAACGTGTGTAACAGTATATTGGATCTGTGCATTCGGTCTCAGTGACAGCAGCCCAAATTACTGCTTTAGTCTGTGTCATTAATGTTAATCGAACAACAAAAGACAAATATAAAAATCACTCACTGCTCTTGAATGAACAACTTTTGTAGCTTTAATAAGGATTAATCTATATTTAAAGTATACAGTGATATGCTGTGTTATTTTACATTTGATTACTTTATTCAGTTTTTGTTGTAGGCCATCGGTTCCCAACAGGGGGGTCGCGGCCCACAAGGGGGCCTCAGCGAGCTCTGTGGGGGGGTCGCGTCATATTTTGAAAGGTTTGAGCAATGAGCATTAAATAAAACAATGAGCATTAAATTAAATAATAAAAGTAAAACTTTTTTCTGTTCAAAATTTACAAAATGTATATAATGAGCGAGCTCATCATGAATCAATTTTCCAATCCGTGTTTTTGTCTTATCCTGAACCACTATGGTACACCTACAATAAGTGTTTACATTGGGACTATTTTACACTGGTTCGGATCGCTGCCGCTGCGGAGTTGCCCAGTACCTGCGTGACTCGTCATAGACGTACACAGAGAGATGTAGTTCCTGCTACAATGTTCTTCCGAAAGACGCATTATTCTGTTAATAAATGCAAGTTTATTATCGCTCGCTGTAGCGCTAAAAGCGTAAAAAATAAAGCCTCACAAATAACATGCAAGTATTGAGGCCCCAGACAGCAGTCATTTAGAAATAGCTTATATTCTTTCTTTTTTTTTACCTACACACCAGTGTGAATATTTTTGTTTTTGCATTTCAAATAGGGCCAATTTATAGGCTTCTCCTAGGCTTACGTTTTTAAATTACAAAGGGCCTACTGATGTTTTTGTTATTGTATTTTTAATATTATAGGCTATTATTTGTGCATAAACATACCGTTTGTTTGAAAAAAAAACATATTTTGTCTTCCTTGCTGCAAGCTTACAAGACCGATAATATCATTAAATGTGAAGGGGGGCCCTAAAATATTTTCTTGGGAAAAAGGGGGTCTCAGACAAAAAAAGGTTGGGAACCACTGTTCTAGGCTATTACTCATCTGAATACAACTGTTAATACATCTTCCTGAAAAACTTAAAGTCCCTGTAAAGTCAAAATTAAGTATGTGTTTTGAGTTTGTCACACCACAGAAAAATTAGTTATTAGTCACCCAGCCAAATTTGAATGATAAAAAAAGCCAGCAAGTACATAAAATAAGCTATCAAAATCTTGAAGAAATGAGCAGTATTCTCTGCTCTCAAACGCTGGAGGCGTGTCCACTGGCTGCGCTGAAACCACGCCCACTCGCGGGAAAGCTGCCGTCGACTCGCCACACTCAACTCTACAGCCGGAATAGATGCTCGCACGGTGGGCAGTGGGCACACGCACTGCCGATGACACCAGTTGTCGGCGCGACGGGAGGATGAAGGCCAGGCGGGAGTCGGTTCGGCCCCTCACCAGTAACAGCGGATTATCAGTGAATCCCTGACAGTTATCTCCGACGAAAGTTTATAAAACTATCCCGTGTAAAATGATCACTTACAGAGGCGGGTGTTGGCGGTGATCCTCAGCTCTCCATCAAGGTGGCTCTTCACAAAATTAATCCACTTCTTCTTGATGTAATCGTTTTTCGGAAATTTAAATAAGGACACCGATCTGTTTTGTACGTGATCCAGTGATCGCATCCAGGTAGTAGGCCTACGCATTTCCGTGACGAAGGCATAGCTAGTAGCTAGCAATCTGTAGGCTGTGTTACTAATAATAGTGCTGACAGTAACTCGCGATTGAGCGGCAAACTGATGTGAATGTGCTCTATTATTGTTAGGAGCGGCCAGCCTCAGCGGCTACAGTGCGTCATCAAGTAGGGGCGTGTCCAGGAGCTCAAGGGCTCCAGTGCGTCATCGAGCCCTGTTTTAGCCCCGCCCAGAAAATCCGGAAAATAGCAATGGTGAAAAACTGTTTAACGGTCTAACTCCACAAATCAGTACCTCACAGTTCACAGTCTTTGTAATATGTTTTAGCAACACATTTCTAACATTTATAATGTGTTTAGAATTTTTTTTTGAAATTGCCTTTACAGGGACTTTAAAGCACTGTTTACTTGATTAGTATTTTTGTTCTGTTGTATTTATTTGTCCATTTTGTTTGTAATTAGTTTCTTTGTTCTATTTGTATTGCTGACTGTTTACTTGACTTCTGTAACTGTTTTGAGGACCTTTTACTTGCTATTTCAGCTAAAACTAATACTAGTTTAACTAATGTAGCTATCAATAATTGTGAAATTTTACTGATAAATATATTTTATATATATATTAAAGACAGCTTAAACAAATATTCATCTATATGTCGTTTATATAGTAAACACTATGCAGTGTTATTTTACATTTAATTCTTACATTTCTGTACCAGAATACTACTATTAGACCTTACTTTATTTGTAACTTTCTTATATTGTATTTATCTATGCTTGTAAAATAAGTGTATTTGTTCTTATTTTTTTACTGACTGTTCACTTGTCTTTAATAATGTTTGAACTTTTTGAAAATGATCTTATCCGTGACTCAAAAACCGTAGTATGATCCGAACCGTGAGTTTTGTGATGCGTTGCACCACTACTGCAAATGCTTTAAAACCTTTGCCAACAGCAGCATCGTCCCTCTTTCCGCACAATTTGACTCATCTCCTGAGTCTTGTTGTTCCTGTGAGGAAGAGAATAGTGCGAGTCTCTCAAGCAGTCAATAAACACTCTCAGTATTGGCTATGTGATGCACACTTGGCAAAACCTGATACAGTCTGGTGACACCTACAGTTGTAAAGCACCAGAAATTAATCTCACATGGTGTGAGGCAGCAGTATGTTGTTATAAAGAGGCTGCATATACTCCACCTACACACACACCCTTCACAGAGCCCCTGACCTAGAAAAGAGAGTTCCTAAGATGTTGCAGAGTTATTCCAAACATCTGCCTGTGCCGTTTACCGTTACACCACATTCATTCACATATTCATTCCTTCACAACCTAACAAATAAAGCCACAGCTGCCAGACTCAGAAGTCAGAGATTCTGCTATTACTGACATAACTCTCTAAGATGCAATCTTTTAGACACTCACAACCCAAACAGTATCTAGACACACATATCTGTTCAGTGTTTCCCACAGGATTTTTTTAAAACTTTGGTGGGTGGTCCTCGGTCCCTCTAAGGGGGTCCGGGGGCATGCCGAGCTTTGATTTTGACAGAAAATGCAGTCAATCTTTTATTTTGGTGGAAAACAAGTTTACAAACGAGTCTCATTACAAATCTAGTGAAATGCTGTAATTGTCAACTATGCAAATGTGAACAATTATGCGTAACTGCATTCCCAAATGCAAGCTGAAGTCAGCACATGCACAGTTCACTGCAGTCATTCACTGTGAACTGAGACGCAGAGCTGATCACGTGCTGATACCACAGATAAATCAATGAATGGGAAACACTGCTGTTCTTAGCAGGCTTGTGTGGTGGTAAATGGCAGTGTTGGCCGGGTGAAAATGACAGGCTGATTTACGAGGTCAATAAATATGGACTAAGTGATAATCTGCTGAACAGACTTATTATCACTCTTCTCTACAGTCAAACCATGTACAGCATGCAGCATCCTTTCTATAGCCTAATCTCACAATAATCGCAACGCACAAGCCCGAGGATTCAGAGCCAGAACGTTAACTTTAAAGCTTATTCTTCTATGCATCGCGATTCTGAATTGAGTTTTTTCCCCGCATGTGTGCGATAGAGACAGCCAGCACACAAAACCACTGAACAAATATATACCTTTAAGCATTTTAATGCATCATTGAAGTATTAATTTTTTTTTTTTTTTTTTTTAGAATACTGACCCTAACCTTTTGAGTCGTAGCGTAGTGCAAAAAGTTAAAACAAGTTCTTGGTTGTAGATTGTAATTGGCAATTCACTAGTATCTTGATTCCAGCCAAAGGCAGACATATCCAGTAATTAGCAATAGTTACTAATCTGGCATCTGGGTTTTAACAACAATCGGTAAATTATATTTTCTGACCTTTGCCATTTCCTCAGCTCCACCTACAGTGAGGGGCTGACGATGGGCTGAGTGACGAATAAGAGAATCCGTCCCGATTTCCAAGCGAGGACGCTTCATCTCAGAGTACTCCACTTCTGATTGGCCGCTGTGGTCCTGCAGGTAAATGTGTTCATATCGGATGTGGGACTCTTGACCTCTGTAGAGGAAGAAAAGAGCAGGAGGAGAAGTGAATTATGGTTAAGATACAGACATTAACCTAATTTCAAAAGAATGTCAGGATGAAAAGGTTGACAAAGTGGATTCATTATTTTTACACACACTTAAGTTGACATTTAACAGCAGTTACCTCAACAAAACACAACAGACCTCAGATGGGTGAATATGATTCCAGTAATACAAGACACTTCATATTCATAAGGAGGGCAAGACTTCATTTTATTCATTGGGGATTAATTGGATCAAGAAAAAGTGGGTGTTTCATACCAGAATGAAGTCAAACTAAATGTGTAACATCAACTAGCAATTAATAATTTTGGAAAGGCTGCACTGCCTAAAAAGTTTACTTTAAACAACACTCATAGCGTATTTCTAACAATTGAGGGAAAATAAACATTGTCCAATAAAATCTACAAAATACAATACAATGTCATGGATGACTGAGAATCCCCATAGACATACGAACCAGCACTTATCACCAGCACTAGACATTTAGTAAGGATGAGTCCAATGAAACAACCAGTAATACAGGACCAGTCAGGACAGGTCATGATTTCTGCAATTACTCCACAAATCATCGGCTAAGTACAGGCCTCTCGGACCAAAGATGAGTATAACCATGGCAATGTTTGAATGCTGGAGGCAACAGTGCCTTGCGGTGCTTGGTACAGGAGTGAGCCTTTTCACACAAGAATGTGAGTAGTGAACTGACATTGATGGTGGTAGAAAGATTGTGCGATATAAGAGGAAAAGAGAGGTGCTTGAACCTCACACAAATACATTATTCACATCAATCTCACATACACACGTCTCTCGTTCTGGCTTTAAGTTAACCAAACATCTGTCCTTCCTGTGTTATATCTGATTCTACAACGCAGCATTAATACTGAGTGTGATTGGATGCCAATGTTTCATCCCAGTCCAAAGTTTGTCTGTGGCTGCACGATTTGTGTGTGTGTGGGGGGGGGGGGGAGCTTTTTCTGATAAAAATTTTTTTTTTGATAATATATTGATATGATTATAAAAATAATAATTTGGTTTATTATTATTTTTACTATTATTATTTAAATAAGACATTACTATTGTAACCCACTGTCCAAAAAAGTAAGTAATAATTGAACAGCACCCCACTGAGAGAACAGTACAACTGCAATTTATCTTAATTTCTTCTTTTTCAAACAATAAACCATCAAAAAATATTTTTTGTGGAGAACCGCAGGGAGCAGAGCTTCTCATTGTTTTGAAAGACAGTTGCCGCATGTTGTTGAGTTCCAAATGCACGTTATAAGCGACCCAAACTTATATTTTATTGTGATGAATCGTGCAGCCTTACATGTACGCATTTTGATTGAGGCACTAATGGGGTGAGTTGCTGGACTTTGAGTGATCAAGTGGTTCACAGGCCTTCCTGTAGCTCAGACTGATCAAGAGCAAACACACACACATAAACCCAATAACCCTAAACGGCAATAGTACACATCACACTAAAACCACATGTACACACACAGCTTAAAAAGACTTTCCCATCCTGTGCCAAAGCCAGAGATCAGACACATATGAACACACTAAAAATACACAAGTGCACGCAATACCCCTAGACATCTACGCATCCCCATTAGTTTCCCCACAGATCACACACACTGCAGACTGTGTCTGTTATACATTTATAAAAACTAATATCAATAATATCTTGCACATACTTTGCATTTAAATAAGTAAGAAACATTTAGAGGTGAAATCAGGTCATTAAGATTATTAAGACAAACTAGACAACTGAGGTTTAAAACTATAGCGCTTGTGTATAAATGGGTGTGCCTAAATGTGTGGATTGTACTCCGTTGAGAACAAGAATGGGTGTATCCCTCATATCAATTACATGGTCTAACCAGCTTAAATAAACAGTACACACAGACTCCAGCACAGAGCGTGATTAACGCAAACAAACGCTGACGTAAATCCATGCGTGCGTGCCAGTACCACACCACACAGACAATGAAACAGAGAGCAGGAACATTATAATGATATGTGGATACTACAGGCAAAACGACGTTTTAAGAGCATTTGAAGCGAGGAGAGGAAAAGATGTCAGACCACGATTATTATATAAATCACACACAACTGCTCAATCCTGGCCTGGAATCAGAGTCAGACAGTTCAAAGTGCCAAAGTCACATTGGAATTGGTTTTGATTAAACTTGCATTGTGTGAATAACCATTATTACATCAAATTGTTGAAACTGAAACAATAGGGTTTCTATTAGTGCTGCACGATTAATCATATCGCAATCGCGATGTCAAGCCTATGCGGTTATATGACGCAAAAATCTGCGATTTTAAATGAAATGAACAAATTAGGTCTGTTAACGCAATTAACACAGTAGGCCTATCTGTTAATTTCTGTCATCCTTTGGCTAGTGTTACATGATCCCGCTCTTATTCATGCAAATGCTTAAACCATTAATTCGCAACAAGACAAAAAAGATGGCGTTGACTGTGACACACACACACAGAGAGAAAGACTCGCGCCAGTATCGTGCGTGCGCACAAGACAGCACGCCAGAATACAGTTCTCTTTCGCGCTTGAACGAACAATAACACACACAATTATGCCAAAATGTATTTTTGTAGAGTATCTTCATAACATAAGAGCAGTCTAACGATGGCCGTAAGCAGCTGCTGGTCTTAAAGGGACAGTACACAGTAGCCACTAATTATCTCTGTTGTTAAAGTTAATCAAAGAACAAAGGGAACAGAGAAAAACACTCACTGCTCTTGACTAAAGAACTAAAGTCTACTTTTGTAGACTTTTGTTGACTAAATAACTTAATTCAATGTCTGTATATGTCCTACCTGTTAGACAGGAATGTCCAGACATTTTTATCCAGACATCAATGGCTTATTGATCATTATAGGTGTTATTAATCATTTAGTTGTTGTTGCTACTTTGAGTTGAGAAATACACATTTCAGCATTATCACTAATCTGTGTGTGCATTTTCCTTGAGAACCAAGCAAGTTCACTCATTAAACCATTTGTTTATTATATTGCAATTGCATATCGCAATCTTGACCTCAATAATCGCAATATGACATTTTCCCCAAATCGTGCAGCCCTAGTTTCTATAATACATTATATCAATACTTATAGCTAGAAAGTAGGATGGCCAATTTCATACAGATATATATAATAAAAAAATGACAGCAAATAAGATGTAACTGGCCAAGCAGCAGGGACGTGCAGAGAATTCTTCAGGGGCAGGGGCTCAAATGTAAAAAAGGGGCATATATGCTTATCAGGTTTGCATTTATTTGATCAAAAATACAGGAAAAAAAACTGTAATATTGTGAAATATTACTATATTTTAAATTAATGTTTTGTATATACTTATAACCTTTGATACTTTTTCAGGATTCTGAGGTAAAAAAAAAAAAAAAGAACAGCATTTATTTAAATTAGAAATATTTTGTACCTACCGTTCAAAATTTTGGGGTCAGTAATTTTCTCTTTTTAAAAAAAATAATTAATACTTTTATTCAGCAAGGAAGTGTTAAATTGATTAATTATAGTAAAGACTTTTGTAAGAATTCTGTGTCAAAATATCCAAAAACCACTTGCACAGTGTTGTATATATACACTCACCTAAAGGATTATTAGGGACACCATACTAATACTGTGTTTGACCCCCTTTCGCCTTCAGAACTGCCTTAATTCTATGTGGCATTGATTCAACAAGGTGCTGAAAGCATTCTTTAGAAATGTTGGCCCACATTGATAGGATAGCATCTTGCAGTTGATGGAGATTTGTGGGATGCACATCCAGGGCACGAAGCTCCCGTTCCACCACATCCCAAAGATGCTCTATTGGGTTGAGATCTGGTGACTGTGGGGGCCATTTTAGTACAGTGAACTCATTGTCATGTTCAAGAAACCAATTTGAAATGATTCGAGCTTTGTGACATGGTGCCTTATCCTGCTGGAAGTAGCCATCAGAGGATGGGTACATGGTGGCCATAAAGGGATGGACATGGTCAGAAACAATGCTCAGGTAGGCCAGCCTGCACAGTGGTAACAAGGCATGATGGATCCATGTTCTCATTCTGCCAAATTCTGACTCTACCATCTGAATGTCTCAACAGAAATCGAGACTCATCAGACCAGGCAACATTTTTCCAGTCTTCAACTGTCCAATTTTGGTGAGCTCTTGCAAATTGTAGCCTTTTTTTACTATTTGTAGTGGAGATGAGTGGTACCCGGTGGGGTCTTCTGCTGTTGTAGCCCATCCGCCTCAAGGTTGTGCGTGTTGTGGCTTCACAAATGCTTTGCTGCATACCTCGGTTGTAACGAGTGGTTATTTCAGTCAAAGTTGCTCTTCTATCAGCTTGAATCAGTCGGCCCATTCTCCTCTGACCTCTAGCATCAACAAGGCATTTTCACCCACAGGACTGCCGCATACTGGATGTTTTTCCCTTTTCACACCATTCTTTGCAAACCCTAGAAATGGTTGTGCATGAAAATCCCAGTAACTGAGCAGATTGTGAAATACACAGACCTGTTGTCTGGCACCAACAACCATGCCACGCTCAAAATTGCTTAAATCACCTTTCTTTGAACAGGTGTTCCTAATAATCCTTTAGGTGAGTGTATATATATACTGTATATATATATATATAGTTGTTTCGTTCAAACATTATGGACCATGGCAAGCAGACTTTGGAACAAAAAGAGAAATAAAACGAGGATCAATGTCATATTGGCGTTTTCGGATCAAATGGTAAACGGTGTATCCATATAAATAGACTAAATACAAGAGACTTGAATAATAACTTACCATTAATGCTACTTTTGGTGCTGGTTTTGTGCAGTGCTTTGTAGTCAATTAACATCCATTGTTTCAACGACGCAGATTCAGATCGCTTCATAAATGTACATTCGTCTGTCCATGTAATTTTCAAACGATTTATGAATGACGGAAAATCACCG